GTTGCAAATCTGGGAGAGAAAGCCCCTTTCAGTACATCTGTAGGCAATCAGGATGTGGGGATCTTATTGGAGGCATGCGCTCTTCCCTGTGTTACCCTAAAGAAGCCATTCGCATCCAAGGAAACTGGGTTAAAAGCCTTAAAAGAATTCTTATGTGCACCCAGTACTATTTATGAAGATTAATGACATTTTCTAGAAAATGCAAGGGATTTGGAAGCTCATGCATTCTAAGTTAATTCTTGCCTTCTCCATGACATCTATACCATTTGTGCAGGAAGAAAATACCCTAAGTACAGCCCAAGGAGTTGGCTTTTAATTTTTAAAGTAAATGTATAAATTATTGTATGTGCTCAAGATAAATTGCCAAGAAAATGCACCACTTAACATAATTCCCAACCCGGCAAACGCGGCATTTTTAATTAGCCGTGGCATTTCCGCCGTCAGACCGACATTCGTTTCTTTCTGGGCCACGGAAAAGTCCATGTCAACACAGGAGGACAACTGCCTGTCTTTTTCTCTTTCAGGCACAGTCATGACCCCCAACTACATAGACTCCAGCAGCCTCAGTGTGGCCCCGTGGTGTGACTGCAGCAACAGCGGCAATGACCTGGAGGACTGCTTGAAGTTTCTGCATTTTTTTAAGGACAATACGTGTCTCAGTGAGTATTTGAAACAACAAAAAGCATGCCAGTGCTTCCATGTTTTCTCCTTGAGCTCAAAGGCTTCCCTTAATGTTTTCCCATCCCCTCCCTCTCCCTCCCCTTCCGTGATGGCGGGTGGTGACTCTTGCTTCTTTTGGCACACTCAGTGACACAGCAGAGAGCCACACAAGTGATGAACTGGGTGCTGCCAAGACTGTGCTCCCAAAGGCCCGCAAGGATGAGAGAGTCAAATGACGGAGAGTGTATTGTGTGGGAAAGAATACTTCTACCCACAGATCAAGTTGTGATCTTGGCAGCCAGTGTTGAGTCCATTCCCAGGTTCTGAAAACCTGGTAGGAATGTACAATGTGCAAAGCTCAAGCAAAGTGGATCGGACAGGACTCCAAGGACTTGTGGGGAATAGAATGTTGACACCAGCAGCTTCTTGCATCATCAGAACTGGCTCTGAATGAAAGCCATGAATCTGTCTTGGTGTGGGAGTCTGGCAACACAGCCGGGACAATCAGGATGTGGGTTCTCTTGGGAACTGAGATGAGCCCTTGTGGGCAGGGTGCTCCTCTTTGGGAACAAATCCTCATTAGGCAATTTAGAATCATGCTTGACAAAGGGATAGAGATGTACAGATGGGAACCTTGGGCATCTATTAGCAAAACTTAAAACGGAGGACCCCAGGTCTCCCTTGCACACGTCTCCATGATGGGCGGTCATGCTCTGCATTGCTCTCCTGCTGAGACACAGCTTATGTTGTGGGAGTACAGAATTCATGTAATTCCACACGAGCTGCACAGGAAACCTAGGCGATACAGGTGTCATATCCACGTGACAGTGCTGAGTAACTCCAGGGTCTTAGTATTCTCCCAGACCCGGAATGGTAGAGTCTTCAGTCTCCGTGCAGTCCCCGACTTCCAAAGACCATATTCATGACTGGTATTTGGAGGACCTACTGTTAGAAGCATAATCCTGAGCATCAAGGGCCAGGTCCAACTTCTTGAGTGACAGCCATCAAGGTTCAGCTGTGTCCCTGAAGAACTCTGTCCTCAAGTGATAAATTCTGCATGATGCTGTATGCTTACTGTCTTTTGAAGATTTAGCTGGTAATTTACCAACTCTTTGGAAAATATCTCATGGGCATTTCACTAAAATTTCCTCATCATTTCCTCCGTTGAAAAATAAAACCCAACTTCTTGATAGGTGCTTCAAACAATGCAGCTTCAATGCCTTACTGCGATTCTCCTAAAAATAAATTGATCTTTTGAGTTCTTAGATAGCATTCAGACCCACAAAATGAGCCATCAATGTGGAGGCATTTACAGAGACCATGGGTGTACCAGCGTGTTACAGGAGGACCTCTTGTTTGGTCTTCGTTTTATGCATTGGGTTGTTTTGTTTTTTCTTTTTGTTTATTTCACTTCTTGCACTCTTCTGGTTGAATACAAGTTTAAGCAAAAGTAAAGCAATGGAAAATTTGTTCCTCAGAGAGAAATTAGAGTTGTCCCTCCTTGGCAACATTTCAGGAAAGGGGAGAACAGTCTTATGAATGACTTAAATAAAAATGAATGCTAAAGGCAGCCAACAGCTTTTATAATCGTTCTATTTATCCTGGTTTGGAAGGGACACAGGGCTGCGAATGCAGTGTCTTACAAAGGGCCCTGACCTAGAAGCCGGTACAGTTTTGTTTCTTTGGATGTGACTCATGTAGAAACCTCATTCCACCTCTGTCCAGTGAAGCCAGGCTTCTCTCACATCGCCCTGCCGTGAACGCAACTGAGATCAATTGTCTGGTCATGGTTTGGGAATGGGAAGTGGTCGTTTTCCAGCCAATTCATGGCAGATGGACGTGTAGGGATGAGAGAAGACGAAGGTGAAGGGGGAGGCGAGAAAGCATCTGTGTCCTCCTCCCAGGGACTTCCCGGGCCACTTTATCGAGACACTGGCCCCATTCGTCATGCCCTTCCTTTCTTTGTTGTCTCTTAGCACATACCGTCACCCACGTATGTCTTTTGCTTTTTTCCCTTCCTGGTCTTAAGTTCTGCTCATGGGTACGGTTGTTGTCACTGCTGCTCAAGACCTCATGCTTAGTACACAGAGCTGTCCGTGGAGTTTAGGGTTAGATCAGTAACATGTCAGAGCGTGAGTGTGAGAGAGCTGAGCTCAAAGGGGTGAGGCCGACGAGTGACAGCCCCCTCTCATGCCTGTGTCTAACAAGGAAAAGCAGAGGGTTGCGTTGTTCATGTCTTGAGGTCATGAACCTGATCTACAGGTTCTCCCTTCTCTGTGTTTTGTGTAGCGCTTAAACCACAGGGCCTAGCTGGAACCACAAGCTCCTTTTGTATTGTTTGGAAGCTGTCTCTTTACAGACACCCTGAAATGTAGAGCCATAGAAAACTAGCTTTCAGTTCTGCTAAACTTGGTGGATAGCAATTTTGAGATAAAATGTCACTTCTAAGGGGGAAGATTAGGCTTAGTTCTTTTGTCTTCTGTATCAAAAAGTGCCAAGTAAGCATCATGTATTAGCAATTTGCACTTTCGGGTCCCAAATGAAGGAGTTTGATTTCTTATACAATGAATATGAAATAAAAAATTCCTAAATCCAGGGCAAATCCCCAAAGACCTGATTAAAAACTGTTTTTTATTCATTTTGGGAAGGGAGCAACACACAACCAATTTACCCTTGCCGTAAAAACAATCTAATCCCATGCAATTATAATAAGCTTTGAAAGTTTCACATTTCCAACTTTTCATTCAGACAGGGCTGTGCCTGTCTAATTATGCAGATTCTGTTTGGAAGACTGGAAGCAGAAAGGAGAAAAATAATCACACTTAAGTCTTCACTAGATATCGATGAGGTTTGAGGTAGATTTTTCTTCTAAAGGAAGTCACTGTATTTTGCTGCCAAGCAAGAGTTAGCGCTGCCACGGCTTCAGGGTAAAGGAAAGGACACCGGTTAGTTCTCATTCCGTGTAGCGCTCTGACACAGAGCAGGCTTTTCTTTTCTTCTTGGAAAAATGTGTAGCTGTGATGCTACGTCTGAGTCTGAGGATGTCTTTCAAAGGGCCCATAATAAATACTTGCTTTATTTATAGTATAGTGTCTCGTTCAGTGTTTAATTAGTGGATTGATTTTTGAGCACCTGACCCAAGAGATTGATTCTCAGAACTTAGAAAGGGGAATAGGAGAATGGGAGGATGGGTGGATGGGTGGAGGATGGCAGGATGGGTTAATGAGTGGATGGTGGATAGATGGGTGGATGGGTGAGACATTCAGTGCTAAAACCAGAATTTCTCTTATGCCTCTTTGGCCATAACACCCTGTATGTAACATTTGCTGCTTGCCTCTGAAACGGGCTTTCCTTTTGTTTACTACAGAAAATGCGATTCAGGCCTTCGGCAATGGCTCAGACGTGACCATGTGGCAGCCAGCCCTCCCAGGTCAGACCACCACTGCCACCACTACCACTGCCTTCCGGGTCAAGAACAAGCCTCCAGGGTCAGCAGGGTCTGAAAACGAAATCCCCACTCATGTTCTGCCACCTTGTGCAAATCTTCAGGTAAGAAGTGGGTTTGGTTTTCCCGTTGGAGCTGCCTTCCAGGAGAACGTGGGTCATTGCCCAAAAGATACACAGGGCATGTGCAACATCACTCAGATTTGAATCAGTTTTCTAAAAAAAAAAAAAATCTTAGCGTGTGCACATGTGTTCATATGTATGGCGTGGGAGTCCATGTGCATGAGAAAATCAAGGTGCATGAAAGTCACCTCCATGTGAGCCTTTGGTCAAGGCTCTATAAAAGAAGGAGTCTGGGCAGATGCATCACTAAGGATGCTTTGGGAGGGTGGTGGTTGTAGAGCCGGATTGGCTATCTTTGTGGCTGATTCTGTGTTTGTGATACAGCAACAACATACCAAAGAGAGAGAGTGTGTGTTCTTGGCTTGTCGCCATCATAGCCATTCAGACATTACATGAAATGTTGAACTGTCTCTGAAGGTAATCAGACGTGGGTTCCTGGAGAGACTGGTTATTTACAAGGTAAACCAAATGCTATTCCAGGGTAAGAGGAGCTGCACAATGTCATGAAAAGCCTTTATGTGCACAGAGTGTAGTGAAAATGATCAAGAAATTTCTAGAAGACCAACCCAGGTGTGCCTGAGTTGAAAATATAAACATGGCCGTTTCCCATATTCAGCCAGAGGGTGTGTGTTTTCTGTCATTTATTAAGTTGTCATAGTAGTGAGTATTCAGCTGTCAACAAGACATTAGTGATTTGGAAGTTTGCACGGTTCTTATGCACTTAGATTCTTTGGGTGCTCTCGTGGTGGTTGATGGGGAAGGGCAGTTACTCTGGCATGATGCGTCTGAGGACACAGGCTTCTGGACTACGATGTTTCTATTCAAGTCTGCAGAGCTAGTGGACCACACAAGCAGTGCTGGGAATCCAATAACATCATATGTCCATGGTTGTTTCTATGCTGAGGGAGGAGGTAGCCACATGGTGGCGTCTGCCTTCTGCCATGACAGGGAAATTGGTGGGTAGTCTAGTTACTGTTATTTTGCTGGTTACAGGGTCTTATGTGAGCCTTACTGGCGTAGAACTTGCTGTGTATATAAAGAAGGCGTATAGACGCGTGCCGCCATGCCTAGTGCATGCAGAGTTAAAGGTGAAGTCCAAGGACTTGGTGTATGTTACTTTCAAGCAGTTGTGTTGGGACCTCACTCTTCCCAGAAGAGCGCCTCTCCTTTCCCGCCTCCCTGGCAAGGGTCAGCCCCTCTGGAGCATTCCTACGAATGCCTTCTTCATCCACAAGCGTCATGCTCTCTAGCAAGTGTTGAGCAGTTTCCCCCTCTAATCTGTATGCCACTGCCTCGCTCTTCGTGCCCTTCATCTGAGCTTCGGTCTCTGTCTCATGGTCCTTAAGGGTCCTCACTCCCAACACACAGTTTCATACATTCTCATTCACACCAGATAGCAGGGAGACATCAGATCACACAGCTCAACAGCAAGCCCAGCGTTCTTTGGATTTCTGAACCACTCTCTAGACCCTTACTGTCTTCAGCTCCACCTTTGCAGTGAGTATCAGAGCTGGGAGACCGTATAGGACGATATAGACCGTTCTGCAGCTTGAAGAAGAGATACACTGCATCTTCCCGGCTGGTGGGGGTGGATCTAGCATCAGAAATGACAAGGTCAGTCTCTTCCCTGTTTCTGTTCAGGATTCTGGCCCTATCTCCTTCCTTTTCTGCCACACACACGGTCAGCCTTGGCTCTCTGTGCTTCCCATCCTCAGATGCCAGTGTCAGTAAACACAACACAGATGAAGGATAAGACCTCGTCATCACGAGCTGAGGACGGTGGGCCAAGGATGCTTTCTGAGTAACAAAGGGGGCTGTGCTTGAGCAACATCTGCACCATTCTCTACACATTTAGATCCACAAAAGGTGACTCAGGTGCCACCCAAAGTCCGTTATTAAGTTTCCTGTGACTGAAAAACTACATAGACCCCAACATTCAAAACCTAAAACAGAAATTCACCCCTCCCTCCACACAGTCTAATAGGCTGGATGCAGCTTGCCCAGTTTCAGAAGGTCAGATAGGGTAACTAGGTGACATCTCAGACTGGAAACCATGACACTCTAGTGTCTTTCCAAGAGTGGAGAAGACTCTGTTAGACATAAAATGTGTCCTCTGCGTCTCCAGTTCCTTTCCCTGTCACTACCCCAGCACCTGACTTGGGTTCTTGTGTATCTCACCTCCAACACAGATACAGCCAGCCAACCCTCCCTGCCAGGAAGAGTCTGTACCACTGCACAGTTGTCCTGGCAACGCCGAGGCACACATGACATCATTCCCCAGAAACCATGCCTTTCCCCTGCGTGTGTTAGCATAGGAGCTCTGCGTTGTGTGATGCTTACCAGGGTTGCCTCTGTTGACTTCTCCCCTGAAAGGGCTGAAGGAACTGGGTTGGCCAGGATAGAGGGCGGCCACACCTCTCTTCCTGTGATACACAGTGCAGTTGAGCAACCTCTGGCATCTGGGAGAGGAGGTCTCGGGGCTCTCGCTGAACTTGTCTTTGTGTCTGAGATGTAAGATGAAGGTGTTAGCAGGGTGGCCTTAGCCCATGCGCTAACTTTCGGCCTCCTCGCCTGGGTCCCAGGAGTATGAGTTTGGCCCAGCTGCTAGCATTGAGACAATGGGCAGAATGGATGCCCCAGAATGCCATGCAAAAGTGACCACCATGTTGACTGATCCTTAGTCAGTTGGTCACATGATCCATCTGTTCCAAAGAGGAATGGTGCTGCTGGGCCTTGTTGCGGAATGGAGGTCTGGGGTGTGCCAAGGAGCGCTGGTGCGGGACAGAAGTGGCAGGAGGATAGCAGTGTGCTTTCAAATGTGTCCCCCTGTCCTCTCTCCTCAGAGCACCCCTGTGGGGCAGACTTGGCAGGCATCCCTTCCCTTCACAACTAAGAAGATAGTGGTTTAATCAGCAGACGGGCTCGTCCCAAGGCTGGCGTACCTTGTTGTCTTGTTCTGTGGCGCTTGGACAAGTCAGTCTTTCTGCACTAGGAGTAGAGAGTGAGAGGAAGCAAAGGACGGGAAAGAAGGAGGGGGGAGCTGCCCTAGTTCCTGCTGAAGGTCATTACAGGGATGAAGTGGCAAATCTCAAGTTCACACTTCACTGAGGACTACAGGGCCAGGACACAGGGTACGGACGGTGGACGCTTGAGCGTTTGCCAGCGAGTTTGTGGCTCAGTGACCTCTTTAGGGTGACCTCTTTAGGGTGACCTACATGGAGAATGGCTGAAGTATGATTTGAGGCCGTAGACTGGGGTTGATGACAGTGATGGGTGAAAGCCTTCACCCTGAGAACGTCGTCCCTCTGGCTGATTTAGGGCTCTCCTCGGTGCAGGGCTCCCAGGAGGTGCAGTCTCTGCCTCTGCCTTTCTGTTGTGCCTGCCTGGCTGAAGATGAATTACCTTTGGCCAGGGGGTCCTAGAAATACCTTCGAATGGTGTTTGTCCCTGCTGCCTGTGTTGTGACTCAGAATAGAACTGACTTCAACCAACTCGGGATCCATCGGTAACAGATCTGGAGACAGTCAGAGGCGCTGGCAGCCTTAAAGTTCACTTCCTCCGAGACGTGCCTTTTGCAATATTTTTAAATGCACAATAACACGAGAAGACTCTGGGGGTGCTGGAGAATCTGTCTTAACATTTGAGATAGACTCCCCCCTTAGAAAGAAAGGAAAAGAATAAACATGTGTTTTTTAAACGTCTGCCTAGAACCAAGTAGACCTAGCTGGGGAGTGGGTGACCCTGACCTGGGCCTGGGAATCATAGGTTCATGGTGTCTGATGTGGAAGGCTCTACAAAAAGAACCAAAAACGAAAAAGAACAGAAAAGAAAAATACAAAAAAAAAAAATGATTGATTAGTATAAAATGTCAACAAAATGCCCAAGTGCTGACCCCCTGAGGAGATAAAATACTGGGTTTGGGGTAACCTGCCAAGCTCCCTGGCAGGATTAATTGGCAGTCATATTCGTAGCAAGCGTGATGCAGGCTGTGCTATTGTGTGCCTGTCTCTCCGACGTGTGTGAAGTGGTCACACAAGAAACAAAGAAACTTTAATAATTCTACAAACCACTTTATCATCTGTGCACTCGAGTGGGCTGGCAGCTGGAAACACTTTCAGTATTTAAACCAAAAGAGTGTACTTGTCGCTAATTTAAAGTAAACATCTCTGGGCATGTAAGTGGATATTGGAATCTTGCCTGCTTGAAGTCACTGTCTGAGCGCCAGTGCCCCTCCCCCACATCAGTGAAGACCCCTTGATGTGATGTCCAGAGACCTCCAGCATCCAAGTCTAACTATAGCAGCATTGCCTTGGGTATCTGTAGGAAAGAGGTTCCCAAGATTACTGAAATCCACACCCAGTATTCTTTTGTGGGGAAAGGGTATTACATTGTATTCCAGAATAATCTTAAATTTGTGTTAGTCTGCTTACCTCAGCCTCCCAAGTGCTGGGATTTTAGGTGTGAGTTACCACACCTGAATCAGGTTCAGTTTGTGTGTGTATGTGTATGTGTAGTTTTGCATGCATGCTTGTTGCAGGTGAAGTGTACATGCATGAGTGTGCATGTGTAGGGCAGTGAGTTCTTTCTTGAGGAAGTCATGCATCATATTCTGAGACAGGGATAGCGCTCAAGCCTGGAACTTGGGGATTAGGTTTGGCTGGATGGGCAGTGAATCCCCGTGAAGATTCACCTGTCTCTCCTTCCCCAGGCCTGGGATTGCAAGCATGTGGCTGCTCCTATGTGTGTTCTGGTGGCCAAACTCAGGTCCGCGCTGTTTGCATGGCGTGAGCTTCACTCTCTGAGTCACCTCCCTAGAAACCAGGTTTCTCCAGCGGTTGCTTGAATCCTCATGGCTGGTAGATGCACTGGGCTCCCCTGCTGGAGGCTAGCCACTGCAGCCTTTGACAGGCCTTTGAGCCTGAGCTCGGGATGCTGCGGGCCGCAGAGCACCTCAAAGCCCAGATCTAGCTGAACGGCTGGAG